ACAGACAGATAAAGTACTACCTAGGGCATTGCGAGAGGAAAAAGTCTGTCCACAAAGGTGAAGAGGAGCCCAGTGATGAACATCTCACCTCACTGGCAAAGTACAACTACATTGCCTGGCTTTTCTTCATTAATTCCATGGTTGGCTTTGTGATTGTGGGCAACTTTAGAGCAGGTGAACTAGTTCACAATCACATGATCGGCGCAAATATCGGCTTCTGCAGCCTTTTTGGCTACGGCACGCTGATGGTGAGTAGTAGGGGCTAGAGTTGAATTCAACTGAAAATAATGCATGTTTTCACGCAGATATACCTAAGCAACCAGCTGGCAAAGCTGTCCATTGAGAGCAAACCAGTGACCATGTTTTTGTCGATTGCTCTGGCCAGTGCCACTTTCGTCGTCTGCTTCGCCAGTGTGGCTGTGTCGGTCATCCAGGCTGGTCACAAGAATGTGATTGACACGAAATGGCGTCTGCACTGGTCTGCCGACCAGCCTGGATATGCAGTACATGTTCTAAGTGCAATCACCGAGGTTCTAACCATCAACATCTTCAGTGTTGTCATGCTGTGCCTCTTCAGACGGATGAAAAACTTTCCCCACTGGGCAGATGTTTTTGGTTAGTCAGCCTTTGTATTCTCATTTCTCACTACTTTTGCACTATCAACTGCACTGACAGAAGCAAATAAATGGATGTATTTTTTCCTCCTCAAGTACATGTACTTACCTGGTGTGTGATTGACATTAGAAGAAAAGGGATTGATTTGTAATTTTTACCTAATCATCAATCCGAAATTGAGACGCAGACATTAAGAGGAGGAGGAAAAGAACAGCAAGGACCAGTTTAGGTGACAGTTGTGTTGTGCAGTTGGCGTCCGTTGATCGCCACCAGGAATGTGCTACAACTGTACGTGACTGAAGGCAACCTTCTCGGAAGCTGCTCGAATCACATGCAAATGAGTGGTATTATTATACCTGTGGAAAAGTGAAAGAGAGAGGGAGGGAGGGGGAGAGAGTGCAGTCCGCGCAGACTAGCCCCAAGGCCAATAACTTTGCTACTTCATCAACAATAGAACAGTACAAAACGTACTGATGGCGAGTCAGCATGATTCGGCGCCCCACAATTCTCACTCTCTTCCTTTCCCTTCACTGCCATTAACTCCTTCTGAACAGTAATAATAAATGACAATTGCCTTATTTATATCGATTAATGGCCATCGATTCGGTAGTTGCAATGTCGGCATCTTCACTGATCACGACTCTCAGGGGTGGCCATAAAACGAAGGTGCAATTGGCAGTCAGTTGATACTCGCAATCATAACGGCAGACTGTGTAGCATTCACTTGCACCAAAACTAAATGAGCAATTGTACTAACAGTCTCACAGACTGTTGGTTTTTTCTGTTCTTACTTTTGTTTTCGATCGTCAGTCAGTGCAACCGATTTTTCGCTTTTGCAGTGTTCGTTTTCATTCTTCCGTTAGAAGACAAAGATGAGCATTGTCTACCGAATAATGTTGGACGACTGCGAATCAGCGGCCGTTGGTGTAATCGGCCGGCGAAATTCGCTTCATTCTCAGCAGCAGTTTCAGCTTCAGCAGCAGCACTCAGTGGACTTAGGTAGTCCATTTCAAGTCAAGTTCTACCATACCTTCATAACGGAGTACATTTGGATCATTCCACTGCTATGTGCTCTTGTCTTTCCCTTTCTCGTCTTTTCCATGTACCTCATTGCCCTGTCTTACGGACACATCGAGGCATTCTGGCCGTACATCAGCGACACAGGCGCACTTCCGCCAGAAGCAGGTTTTTTCGATCAGCTCATGGACATTGCTGCCATTCTTGGTGAGTCTATGACACTGATTTTTCAACTAAAGAATACTAACAAATATTCATTCAGTCATTCTGACTGGATACATTCGCTACAAGCAGGTCAAGTTCTACATTGACAGCCTCGGACGGTCGCAGGCTGGCGAGTTGAAGCAGCTGTACAAGCTGTACTACATCAACCTCTACTCACTGCTCAGTCTGTATCCCGCCTCCATCGGACTGATGCTGATTGGAAATTTTCGCACATCGGAAATACCGGCGTTGCATCTGTTTGGAAATGCACTCATTCTGGGCATTGTCTTTTCGGTCCTTTTTCAAGTGAGTTCACTTAATAAGCTAAGTTGAACAGGTAAAGTCAACTTTTTCTTTTACTTCTTCGACCAGATATGCATCTGCCGACAGTTGTGGTCCGGTTTCGGAATTGAGTCGGAACCGACGTCGATGACGGTGACACTGGCATTCGGCCTTCTCTTTACCTTGCTCACTTTCATCTTCACGTACACTTCCTTCTTCACTGCCGGTCTAGACAACGCTTTCAACTTCAACTTTGGCCTCCACTGGACGAGAGATAAGCCTGGTTTTGTGTGGCACGTTCTGGCCACAACCACCGAGTATTTAGCCGTAGTCGTGGCAATACCCTTTTACTTTGTCTGCCTCTTCAGGCGAATGAAGCACTTTCACCAGTGGGAAGCAGTTTGGAAATAAAAGCCTCTAGTGCCTTTTTCGTACTTTTATAAATTTTCTTTACTTCAACTGAGGATACTCAAAATATCCTCTCTCTCTGATCAGATTAAAAGTGTGTAATAGTCCCCTCGTCGCTTTCATATGTTTTGCCTTTCCTTGCAGCTGACCTTGCGAGTGAATACATTTTTGCTATTTCATTGCACTTTCTACAGTTGATCATAGGGAGATGATAACTGAGACTGTCGCCTGAAGCACTTCTAGTTGAGGTTTCATTTTAGAGTACACTTGTTTGTTAATTTATGCATTTAGATAGAAAAAAGTATTCCACCCTGACTACCTTCAAGCATGGTCACAGCCAGCTGTCAGCAGCCACCTCACATCCTCATCACAAATTCTCCGTGTGAACTGCTCCATCCAAATTGATTAAGCAAATCAATAAAGCAAAAACTGAGTAGTATTAAACTGCAATGACAACAACAGCCGACACGAACAACAACAACAATGATCAGTCGGAAGTGACTGTAGGCCTCACGGACTTTGTCCTCGAAGACATCTCCGTGAACTCAACCACTCAACCTCAATCAAATGCAGCCACGACCAATGACACTCAAAAAGCAGCTGGTGACGCAGGTCAGTGGAAACACGCAATCTACAATCATCTACGACAGAATCTATGGCTCTTTCCTCTACTTGTATCCATTTTGCTGCCCCTATTTTCAATATCATCGTAAGAGTCATAAAGTTTTTGAAGTTGACTTCATCTAACCACCTTTTCTTTTGCTGATAGATACATCTATGCAAAACATCACATGCAGATAACGACAGCTTTACCTTTTATCTCCGATGCAATTGCCCTTGCACCTCAGGCCGGGCCGGCCAGTGCATTATTTGACATTGTCAACTTTTTCAGTAACAAGTTGCATTCAATATTTCTCGCCTAGCCCTAATCAATGACCATTCAACTTTGTCACAGTTATAATCACCTGTGTTGTTCGATATAAGCAACTAAAGTACTACCTGGTGCATAAGACTACATTATCAAACTCGTTGGACATTGAAAAGAATCCACCATTAAATGAGGATCAACTAAACGCCCTCCACCAGGCAAACTTTGTTTCCACCATTAGTCTGTATGTGGGCACATTTGGCCTGTTCATCATTGCCAACTGTCGATCGACAGAAAATCAGCTCTGTCACATAGTGGGCGTCACTCTGTTCATCAATGGAATGTGTGGCTACTTTCTCCTAATGGCAAGTCCTTGAGAATCCTTATTACCCCAAATAATTTTTGCCAATTACTTGTTTTTAGACTTATCTAACGAACAGACTGAACTCAGTGTACGGGATCGAGTCGGTTCCGTATACACTGGCCACCACATCTATCGTATCTGCGGTGACGATGTTCTTTGTTGCAGTGATCACCCCAGTATCCTTTTTCGTCGCCGGCCCAGCAAACTTTATCAACAATAAGTGGCGTCTCAACTGGACAACAGAAAAGCCAGGTATTACAACAACAGGCCATTGCCAGTGCTCATCAATTTGCTCACAATGTCATTATTTTTATTTTTCCTCTCAGGTGTAGAGCTGCATTTAATTACTACCGTCGGTGAATGGATAGGGATAGTTCTCTGTGGAACTGTCCTTCACCTCTGTCTCTTCAGGAGAATCAAAAACTTTACTGAATGGCACAAGGTTCAGTTTTAGATAGAGCAATAATTGTGCCTTAACATTGCCAAATAAAGTTACATTCCTCCATAGTGCACAGCCCAGCACTTAATCTCGCATTACTGACTGAGACAGTGCCAGTGGACCGAGTAACCACAGTGACATTGCTATTTAATCAATTGTAATCGCACATTTGTCACAACAGCAGCCGATGTCAATGAGCAGAATTCAAAACGTGCAACAAACAAGCAAGTACACATTTTCTTAGATTTTGTGAACAACAAAAAAGCTAAAATGCCAAAGATGCGACTGACCACTTCTCTTGGTGCTCTCCTTTTAATATCAGTCGTTTTCTACTTTACAAATGGTACGTAGACGAGCATGAAACCACCAACTTTAGGCAGTTTTGTAAACGTAACCATTGTAGTTCTGCTTAGCAGTGCTCAACGTGGAAGCACTTCTTTACCAAAAAACACCGTTGATGAACCAGTCAATCTGGCTAACTTACCCGAAAAGATGATGGCCATGGGCAAGTATCTGCAGTCACTGCAAGGCAGACTGGATAAATCATCCAAAGCAACGCCAGAGATGGGACTAATCATGCGAAGGACGATTCTAAAAGAGATCGCCGAGAAACAGGCAGAAGTTGAAGTCATTGAGAGATTCATTCGACAGCTCTTTGAATCAAACAGCATCACCGCGGAAGATGTCAAAGTAGACCTGGAGCTGCACCTCTACAACTGCGACACCTTTCGGGCGCTAACTAATGATGTAGTACTGCAGATTCAGGAGATTGCCAACAGCAATAAAAAGACTAATTAATTCATTCATTCGCCCTGGTAGTTCTCAACAAAATCAACAACTACACGACCTTCTCTGTTTAGTCGATTCACCAGAGCTTCAGGCGGAATTATACTGCCCGGTGTGATGACGCCGTAAGGAAGGGTGGTGTTCTTCTGCTGTCGGTAGATCTCCTCCAGCAGCACCAGCGCCGTGTTGATGGCAATGGTGGCCGTCTCAATGTAGGCGCCATCACCCCCGCGAATGATCACTGCCGACTGCTGTGTCATGTTGCTGACACTCTTATCCGAGTCGGCAATCTTCTTGGGCCACCCTCTGCCGAGCAGTGTCAACTTGAACTGATTCTCCAGCAGCATCTGCCGATCGGGCATCTTTCCCTTCTCAAATGTGCCCAGCGAGAAGAAGTCACCGTACTTTCGCAGCAACCTCTCTGTGAACTCGTATTTAGTGAAGGTGCTAAGGTTGAAGCCCATGGCAGCGTAGCGGAGTACCGTCTTCAGATCACGAATGCAGTAGTAGGCCTCCAGTTGAGTTGGCAGTTCATTGAAGACGGAGTAGCGGTGAAGCTGAGTTCGCTTGACCACTGACCGGTCACTGCCTGGAAAGGGAACAATGTAACCACGGGAGCTTCGTTTGAATGAAGAGCGTTCTGCAAGCAATAATGACGTGTTTATAAGTAAACAAAAAGTAAATGGAGTAAAAATATTACTTTGTGGAACAATCCAGGTGTACGGCTTGTAAACTGAACTCGTCGGTGAGAAGAGCTCCTTGCGAATTCGCTTCAGCTGAGGTGCGTGTTTGTAGCCTTCAATCAGTGCAATCCAAGTGGCGTAGCTGAAACGATTTCTCTCATTGTACCACAGCTCAAGCAAGTGCTCCACTTGATGCAGGTGGCCGGGAAACTTCTGCTTGAGGTACTGCGTGCCAATATCGGCCGGAATTGAGTCGAATCCACAAGATCCTGATGTGAAAATTTAAAACTATATCACAATCGTGCTTAAATTGTGACGTTAGAAAACACATACCAACGACGTACACTTGATTGCGTGCAGCTGCGGCATTGTAGTTGCACTGAATGGACTCTAAAAACAATGGTTCACCGGCAAGGTCCATGTAGTGGGTTTCTGTTGTTGATGGTCAGACAGAATCGTTATTGTTGATAATTCACTGTTTGTATTCATGCCTGAACATACTCGAGTCAATGCAGGCCTTCACGACAGGCTCCCCAAGGAGTGAATAAGGACCGATACAGTTCATCACCAAGTTAGCATTCTGAAATGCCTTTGACATGGACTTTACATCACTGCCATTCGCTTCAATGATCGGTATTTTGTCCTTCAGGTTAGCAATGCCAGTGGATGCCTCCATCTCCCCTAGATACTGCTTCATTTTGGTAGTGTTCCGTACGGCGATTGCCCACCTGGTTGGCAGACTAAACTTCTGAACTGTCTGAGCGAAACGCTCCACGACATAGCGTCCCGTGAATCCAGTGGCTCCAAAGATGATCAGGTCAAACTTTCTCATCGTGATCTGCTGTGTTCGTGGTCGTTTCACTTATCTGCGCGTTTTGTGTACATTTTGTTGTGTACACTCGCCTTCGTCTGTTTTGTTTTTGAGTACATGTGAACTGTGCGATCAACGGACATTTATCGGTGTTGAGCTGTAAAGCTGGGAAGCCATACTGATTTTGGCTGAATCACAAACTAATCAAGACGGGTGTAATCAAGACATCACAAAATCACCTGACAGTTCAACAGGTGCCAGGTTTGTTTTGGACTCATGATCATCAGCTGACGATTTTTGCTATTTTCAACAGCCTGCCGGCGCAGCCATTCTTCCTCCAGTTGAAATAGTGATTTGAGCGTTCAAGACTTGAACTTCAAGTCAGTTCAATAGTAATTAAACTTTTATTAAATTTTTTTTAAAAAAATTAAATTATTTTCATATTATGCAAATGGCCCTTTTTCTTCCCTTCTTCTGCTGACTACCTGCAGGCCTCCAGTGAGTACTGTGGATGCTCTCCACAGATGGGCAAGGGGTGCCCAGTGGAGCTAAAGACCCACGAATCCTGAGGCAGTAAGTTCTCATGTTCAGCGTAAACCAGGTACAGGTACTTGAGTGTGCCCGAGAGAAAGTGCTCATGCTGTCGGTGGCCCACACTGGCTGGAAGCACGTCCACGTCGGCCACCGGTCCGTAACCACCAGTTTCCGCTGAACGACAGTGCGTCTGAATGGCTAGTGCCAACTGCCAGGCGTACTCTCGGTAAATATCCTCTTTGGTGAGACGCCACAGGTGAAAGTAACTTTCCGCCATTTCAAAACTAAAGATAAATGTATTGTTACAGACCGTTATTAGATAAAACGTTTTAATTATACATACCCTAGTGTTGACTTCGTAATGGCCAAGTTGGTGGCCTCCTCTCTTTTGCTGAACTTGATTTCCACCGGCGGCAGTTTTGTCTCTGTCTTCATCACCGCTCGGTGACATGTTTCAGTAAAATTGACTGCCAGTGGAAGGTATTTTTTAGAGTTTTTCTTTGCCGCTAAGGCAAACATGGCTCCCAGACGACAGGCAGCTGCAGGCATCGAGTTTTCGTAAGTCGACTCATAGGTAGATGAAATGTTGAGAGCACCCGAGTACTGCAAACCGTTCACTTTGGAAATTTTAAACAAACGATTGTTGACGATTGTCTGAATAGAGTTGTCAAAAAGCTTCCAACTGTGGTAGTCACGGCCAGCAGATTGAAAGTACGACCGTAACAGGTTAAAGTAAAAGTCTATCGTCTTTTCAGAAAATGACCACCTTCTCCTAGAAGTCCACTTGCCACTGTTGACGTGGATCTCCTCTAAGAAAGGTACACCTTTTGGCTTTTCAATCTCTTTCATGAAATCTTCAATTCTTTGAAGACGAACTTTCAGTGTGTTGTTCTTCGTCAAATCGGCCAGGTAAAAGAGCTCCGGCGCTCGGTGACCAATGTGTGCCAGAGGTACAGACGGGTCCTTGTGCAGAGTGTACTGACTTTTGTAGTACAAATCAGCCATCTGATCGTCAAGCATCAGTCCGGTGAAAGAGCTGTTTAGCGCCGGTACGAGAAAGTTGCCGATTGCGGCCGCCTTTTCCTTGAACACTGGATCACCACTGAGCGCATAGGTCGAGAGGAGACCGCCAATGTAATCATTGACCAATTGATGGGCTTGCAGGTCAATCAAACTATGCCGAAAGTCGGTCAGACGAGTCTCAAGCCAGTGAGCTCCCTGATTAAACTCCTTCATCAGACCAGCGACGTGCAGTGTGCTCAGGGCGGCGATGATGCTCAGCCCCGAGTGTACTGCCTGGCTCGCTTGTTCTGCTTTGTGTGAATCGCCAGTTGGGTCTAGGGCGTCATATCCCCAGGCGTACTTGCGGTAAGCGTACCAGGCATCACGAGTCATGTTTCGAATGAAGGAGCGTCGCAGCAGTAGCTCCTCTTCACTGATGGAGACATTCTTGTAGAGGAGCAGACTGACGAAGAAGAGCACTACGATGATAGTTATCACAAAAAGTGTGACAAAGGTTTTCAATTTGTTGTTTTTGGAAGACTTGGAAGAAGAGGATGAAGTGGAGTTCACCGGGTGATGATGCTTTCGGGGAACCATTGTTTTACCTTCTTGCACGCTGGTAAACTCTCTGTCGTCTTCATCGTCTGATGGATAGAAGAAATTTAAATGTTTGATTGCTTTTGAAAAAAGTAACTAACGTTCAGTGATCAAATCAGAGTGCAGTGATAGTGAAAACTTTGTGGCTTTACTGTAGTAGGGAGGCAGTTATCAAACAGAGTTGATAAACACTTACACTAATGATTGGAAAGTTTTATATTGTACTATCACTTAAATGAGCGTTCTTTGTTCTCCAGAGGTACTGGGGAGTGTACTGGAAGTTAGACAAATATTTATCTTTAATTGACATCAATTTGTAAGCGTGTTGAAGGATTTCTAGACATTTCTTTGACGCTGCAGATGTTAAGCAGCATTGATCAAATTAACAACTTTGTCATATGTTGGCTCAAATATTGATAAAGTACCATTCAACTTATTTTTGAGTTATAACTGCAAAGTTCTGCTGGGTACACCGGATGGCGACCACAAATTGGCAATGGGTGCCCTAGTTCATTGAAAACATACTGGTCTAATGAGAGCACTGTTGGATCGGCATAAGTGAGGAACAGATACTTTAACGTGCCCGAAAGTAGCATTGGCTCTTGAAAGTCTATTTTTTCAAAAAACTCTTCAGTAGTGACATCCTTAACGTTGGCAATGCCGCCGCTAGGTGTTTGTCTGTGAACCAAAGAACGCCTGATCGCCTCTGCATAACCGAGGTATTTCGCGTTTTCTGTTTGTCGCCACAAAGAAAAGATGCTTTCAGTGAAGTAGGAGCTTAAAATAGCAAAAGAGTTAGTGTTTGTACTTTTTAGAGAATGATACTCACTCAGAGGCAGAACTTGTTTCATTAGTTAAATGTACCATTCCACCTAGTACTGAAAACTCCTGTGGCATCCCCTTTGTTTTGGTCATTTGCAAGGCTTGGTAGCACGTTTTAGTGATATTGACACCTGCTTTAAAATACTTGTTAAAGTGATGACGCTTTATTACATCTCGAATGTTTTCATTGAACCCATTTAGCTCAGTGGCACCAACAGTGAGCAGAGCGCCAAGGGCACAGTCAGTTGCAGTAAGCAGAGTTTCATTAAGGATCGCACGATGGAGGAGATTACTGGTTGAATAAGTCAGAGCGTTAAGTATCTTGTATTTGAGGTAGTGCTCTAATGTTTCACTGAGTGTGCTGTTGAGTAGACTGATGGCTGCAGTATCACGTCGTCCAGAAAGAAGATATGAGCGAAGAAGGTTGTGAAAGATGCTTTCAGCTGGTCGCTCATCATTTGCCATTTGAAAAGAAAAGTTTTGAGAGTACTTTGTGGCTTGGTTGGCAATTAGTTGAAGGCGGTTAGAAAGAAGACTGTTATTTGTTAGCTGGGCAAGAAGAATCAGCTCTGGTTGATAAAAGCCAGATTGAGAAATTGGAATTAGGTTGTCAGAGTTGTCTCGTGCCATCTGCCGTTTGGGGTTAATTTGCTCGTGAAGGAATCCTTGATATGAAGCATTGTACTTAAACAAAATTGAGTGTTTTATATGTAAGTGGATTACCTGTTTGAGAGTTAAACGCATATTTCATTAAAACATCACCCACTTGTGCAGCTTTTTCAAGAAAAATGGCATCTTTCGTCAATCCGTATAAAGACAACAAACCGCCAATGTAGTTAGTGATCACATCGTGAACTTTGCAAAAACCATCAAATTGAGCAAAATCAAACTTATGCTCAATCCATTGACGACCTTCAGCAAACTCATCTTTTAGGCCTATCAAGTAAAGTGTGGAAGAAGAAGAGAAAATGGAGTAACCAGAATTTTTCACAGGCATATAAGGCAGCAAAGTGGAAGTTCTAGATGCCGGTGCAAGTGCTCCTTCTGGCCAAGCATATCGACGGTATGCAGCCCACGCGTAGTGAGTGCTGTTGCGAATGTCATTCAAATTAATAGTTTGATTGTTGCTGTTCTTATGGTCTCTGAAAATAGAAGTTAGGTAAGTAGTAGATAACACTGTACAAAATAAAATGATGGCTACTAGAAATAACAGTAATAAGCATCTCTGAAGAAATGTGCCAAATGAAAATGGCGATCGACTTTTCTTTAAAGTACGGGAATTTTTTGATTGAAAAAGAACATTTTCATCTTCACTTGAAATAAAACTACTGTACGGTAAGGTGGCCATTGTGTGCAAGCAATTGATGACTACTAACAAAAAGAGAAAAAATGTACACGAAATAGAATGAGAACCAGAGTGTGACCTTGTAAACAAAAGCAGATGGCTTTATCAAGCAAATTGATCAGAGAGGATATTGAATGTTTATGACTTTGAAAAGTTGTGTTTACAATTTAAGTGTGTAATTGGAGTGTCCTCCAGAAAAACGATGCAACCAGCTTATCAACAAAGTTGCTCACAGGATTGAATGATGAAAATGATTTTTTCAAAAAAATCATTTTTTGTAAAATAAATCTTTTTAGTTTGAGCTCAAACATTATTTTAAAAAATTTAGAAAAATTTATTTTAATTTATAAAAAAGATTATTTATGTTACCCAAAGAAGTTGTATTGATTTAGAGATTCATTCATCTTTGTTTTGATCTTCTTTTCTAGCCTTTTTCTTAGACGCTCTTTCACCAAGCCTACCACAGCGTCAGTTAGCAAACGATCGGCTACATAAGAAAACGGTTCTAAAAGGTTCTTTCCAGGATACTCAATGTCGACTTTGATGTCATCCATTTTTGTAATTTTAAGTTCCTTCACTTGAGGAC